GTCTTGTATTGTTTGTACCTATCAAACATCTTATTTAGCCATGTATTGGAGTCCTCTATGACGGAACAAGCTTTCAATAAATGAATATGTTATGCACGTGGTCTAGAATGGGACTTCATGTTTATGTCCAGGCACAAGAGTACTCACACTCGCACAAAATGATGATTCATTGATTCATAATTTCCAATATCTCATGATTTCCAATATTTCAAAATGATGATTGCTTTACACATATATTACTCTCAAATTTCTAACATAAATATATCAACTCAAATAATTAAGAAAAAAACATTGACTAAGATGTCCAAAAAAACACCTAGTTTTGGAAATCAAATAAGTTAATTACTACATGAGGCATAAACACGACATATCCAATTACTAATCGGCAAATAGAATAAGTTAATTAATTACTAAACGGCAATTTATTGACATCAGTCGTTGTAGTATAGTGGTAAGTATTCCCGCCTGTCACGCGGGTGACCCGGGTTCGATCCCCGGCAACGGCGAATTTTTTACAAATTTTAATATTTTCCATAAAATTTAAGAATAACCAAATCAATGGCTTCGCCCGGGTTTCGAACCGGAGGCCTTCAGTGTGTTAGACTGACGTGATAACCAACTACACCACGAAACCTTTATGCATTGGGTCTTTTTTCTTCAATTAAGTCATTACTCATTAGTAATTAGCTAACGACGTGCTTAATCTGTTAAATTTATGGTTTTCATAATGAAAATTATGATTACTAACTCTGATATCCAGATGATTACCAACTTGTATATCTGAATGAGTTTTAATGTTAAGCTTAATGACATATACTTGCATTCCATTTCCTGTTTATCTAGGCTACAGACATGAACTCGGCCTCGGTCGAGTCAGCGAAGGCCTGGCTTGGTTGCACGGTTTTGCGAGGGCATCTCTTTGCCACGACCACAAAGACACATATATTTGCAGTGGTGATACAGGCAAGTAACCAGTAGAACCGGTCCAAGCGGCTACTGTTCAGGTCCTTCCCGAACCAACTCCTCACTGAGAAATCATCAGCTAGAGTATCAACTGTTGTGATCAGAAGGTTGTTAAGGAAGCTAGCCACACCTAGCACGCTTAGGTACAACGCTATACCTAAGCTTCTCATGGAATCAGGGACTTGGTCGTAGAAGTACTCTTGGAGTCCAACGAGTGTGAAGGCATCCGCAATGCCAATGACTATGAACTGAGGAGATAGCCATATCACACTCATGGGTTTGTTGTTTTCGGTACGCTCTAATCGTTGTTTCTCAACTAGAGCTGCAATGATCATGGTGATGAGGGAGAAAATCATACCGGTCCCAATTCTCTGGAGAATGTTGATTCCTCTTTGATTTTGTGTGGTGCGTCTTAGCAAGGGAACGAGGAGTTTCTCATAGAGGGTGATTGAGATGATCGACGCGAGGGCGGTGAGAGAGAACATGGAAGCTGGAGGAATTATGAAGCTTTTGTTACCGGTGATGTCTCTGTCCATGATGATTGATTGTTTGATGAAGAAGGTCGTAGTTTGTGTTGCACAGATGCCAAATGCCAGCGTGGAGAGCCATATGGGAATCACATTGATGATCAACTTTGCTTCCTCTACTTTTGTCAATGTTACGAGTCTCCATGAACTCTGCTTCTCGAAGGCAAGAGGTTGGCCGTCTTCGATAATTGCTGCCTTGTCAAGAAATCTGCAAGGAGACCGCACACCAGAATCAGTTTAGAATGCTCAAGAAATCAGAAATTAAACAAATGGGGACTTTTTGAGTTTGCTTCTACTCACTTAAGATACTTTGTGTGGCAGAGAAGCCGGCCATTGGTAAACTCTGCCTTGGAAAATTCATGAAGCAGAGAAGGATTAGAGGGATAAGGTAGATTTCTTTTGGCAATGGCGGCAACAAAGACCTGCAAAAATGGGGTCAAAGGGCTACCCGAAGGTGTCCGGTAACGATAGAATGGTTTTCCGATGAGGAAAATGAGAAGTGAAATAGCCATGATTGTGGTGAGTACGATGCCAGCAACACCCCAACCAACCCGGTCTTCGATATAGACAAGAGCAGTTACAGCCGTTAGAATACCAGTACATACACAGACGTTCCACCAGTTAAAATAAGACATCTTCATCTTTCTTTCTTCAACATGATGACCGTCAAACTGGTCAGCACCAAAGCTCTCAAGGGAAGGCTTATGACCCCCAGTCCCTATGGAGATCAAGTAAATGGCAATGAAGAAAGCTATTTCGTGTGCTTTCCTAGGTTCAACGCACACTTCTTCTTGACAAGGTTTCAAGTCCGGTATGAAGCAGGACATTGTTAAAAGGACCAAACCCTGTTTTTATGAAGAAACAATACAGAACCATCAAGACCCAGTTTAACCTTGTTTATGGAATGTTTCAGCAAATTGGACTAGGGTAATAAAGAAGTTAGAACTTATATTACCATAAGATAAATGGTGGTTGAAACCAGGACGGTGGCGTAACGGCCGAGATAAGCGTCTGCTACAAAGCCTCCAATAAGAGGCATCAAAGCAGTGACACCTGCCCAGTAGTTCGCATTTCTTATAGCCATCTTGAGATCTTGGTGGAGAATTGTTGTTAGGTAGACCACCAAGTTCGTAGCTAACCCAAAGTAACTCAATCTCTCGCTGAATTCGATTGCTGCGCAGAGAAGATGGAAGAAAAGACTTGACATATATTCTGGGTTATTATAGCATACTTTCTCAGTGTACAATGATGTGGTATAAAGTTTCAGTACAACAATCTCAAAGAAATTTTTGTTACCGATGATGAAGAGTGCAGCCCTCCAAGCGCCAGTTCGAGCTCGAAGAGGAACACGTCCTCTGCAATCAAGAGAAGAATCAAGAACCCATTTCTGTTGATCATCGAACAAATCTTCTACACCAATCTTCTCATGCTCCATCTGTTCAGCGTTAATGGACAAAACAAACTAGACAAGAGAGAGTTGATTCT